TTCTTTTAAGACCAAAAGGCTTTAATTTAGTCTTCACCTGGGTCTGCAGCTTCTCAGGAAGTCGCAGCGTGCCTATCACCAAAGAAACCCAATTCAGAGTAAGTCATTTGGTGGATAGTTCAAGATTCCCCATACAGAACCCATTCTGAGTTCTGACAACACACACACACACACACACACACACAGACACACAAACCAACCATGAATTGCCTGAGGGATTGGTCTCCTAATTTAAAAGGACAGTGTCTGGTCTAATGTTTACCAGGAGAACTTCAGACTAGAAAGTCCTGGATCAAAGAAAACTGCTATGATGAATTGGAAATGGGTTTAGGGGCAATGTTTCAGGACAGGAGTCAAGGGCCTTTGAGGGGATGCTTTAAAGTCAGGCATTGTTGTGGGCTGAGTGATGCACCCCCACCCCAAATTCACATATTGAAATCTGAGCCCCCAATACCCCCATAATGTGACAGTATTTGGAGATAGGGCCTTTAAAGGGACAGTTAAGTTCAAATGAGGTCATTAATCCTGTAGGGTCCTAATCCAATAGGGCTGCTGTCCTTGTAAGAAGAGGAAATCTGAACACAGACACAGAGGGAAGACCATGTGATGATGCACGGAGAAGACGGCCGTCAACACACCAAGGAGACAGGCCTCAGCAGAAACCAGCCCTGCCCATGCCCTGATGTCGGACATTGGTCCCGAGTACCATAAATGAGTGTTGTTGAAGCCTCCAGTCTGCGGTACCCTGTGAGGGCATCCTGAGCAGAGTAACACAGGTGATTTGAGGTGTACCCATCAGGGGAGCATGGACGAGGTCCAGGAGAGAGAGGCAAGGCCTGGAGATGGAAGGAATTCTCCGAAATGACCAGAGCATAAGTGGACTGTTCTAGACTAGAAAGGAAGGCTCAGGAGGGGCGAGAAGTACAGACAGTTGTAGGTCAGGCTGCATTAAGAGAACAGTCATAAGCCCGTCTAACCTCTGCTCCCAGCTGTACACCCACACCCGCCTGTCCCCTGCCCAGCTGCCCACCTGCTTCTCTTCCATCAGGGCCTTGGCTGCCCCGGGTTCTGTGTTGTCTCCCAGGAGTGTATGTAGTTTACCAGAAGACTGCTGAAGATGGCAAAATACCTGTTCCTCCCTCCCCCAGTGACCTCCACTGGGGGAACCTCACAACAGTGGTGGAGAAAACATTTGGAGTAAAGGCCTTCACTAGGTGGCCCTCAGACTAGCTCACCTTGGGGGCCACCTGCGATTTCTACTCTTAAGGCTTCTCTGACTAAAGAAGGAAAAGATTAAAAAGAAAAAAATTATGGGCTGTGGGATACAAAACTGAGTTTAAAAAATTGAACAAAATCCCCAGTGTGGCGTCCCCAGCTGGAGTCCGGTCTCTTACTCATTCTCTGATCTTGATTCCTCTCGTTTTTGTGTTTAGTAATCTTCAAACAACCAACAAACCAACATATTTGAAAATGGATCAAAATGGGAGGTACTACTTTTGAGTAGAGTCAGTGCACCCCAAAGTGAGGTATTTCACTACTTTGTGTCCTGGTTTTCTTTTCTTTTTTTTTTTTTAAAATTTTTAATTGATTTATAATCATTTTACAATGTTGTGTCAAATTCCAGTGTACAGCACAATTTTTTAGTTATACATGAACATATATATATTCATTGTCACGTTTTTTTCTCTGTGATCTTCCATAAGATCTTGTGTATATTTCCCTGTGCTATACAGTATAATCTTGTTTATCTATTCTACATTTTGAAATCCTGTCTATCCCTTCCCACCCTCTGCCTCCTTGGCAACCACAAGTTTGTATTCTGTGTCTATGAGTCTATTTTTGTTTTGTATTTATGCTTTGTTTTTTTGTTTTTGTTTTTAGATTCCGCATACGAGTGATCTCATATGGTATTTTTCTTTCTCTTTCTGGCTCACTTCACTTAGAATGACATTCTCCAGGAGCATCCATGTTGCTGCAAATGGCGTTATGTTGTCAGTTTTTATGGCTGAGTAGTATTCCAATGTGTAAATATACCACATCTTCTTTATCCAGTCATCTGTTGATGGACATTTAGGCTGTTGTGTCCTGATTTTCCATGTGCAAAACTGCCGGTTATAGCAGCCATTGCCTCCTCACTCAAAACACCATCAGGAATATTCAAGCTAAAAAAAATCAGGTTCCCAGTAAGCAGTGGATAAGCCTGTAGCTCCAACATGCTTCTTACTAGGATTGGGAAATACAGTGAGCTGAGGCTTAAGTTCCCCTTTTTAACTTTTGAGGTTGGAGAGGTGGGGGGAATACCTATTGCTTTTTATGAAAAAACATTCATTTTGCTCAATAAATTGTTATAATTTTCTTCCTAATAATAGGTCTGTAATAGGTTGAAATTCCCCCAAATTGTGGAAAGTATGGCTTCTCATCTCACTATAATTTGGATAATTGTAGCTAACAGCCATTCATTTAGTTGGCATCATTTGGGAGGACTGAAACTTTTCTCCTTGAGCGTCATCATTGTAAAAGTTCATGTTTGATAGAATCTCTTCAAAATCTATTCACCATCCTTTTATCTTCGCAAACATTGTCTACTGGCTACAGCTTAAACGTTTCATTCCTCAGGGTCATCATACCATTCCTTTTACACTGAGGTGTCATTGGTGGGTGGGTATCATGGGTGAGCCGCTGTGCTGGTCTTTCTGCCCTTGTGATTAAATGATCACATTTTTAGGAATCTTGTGTCTACTTCGTGCATTGCCTGTTTTTATCTGTCTGTCTGCTTCAAGTTCTGTTCCACTTGCTCTGGGAGAGTAGACATGAAGCTTGTGAGAAAATGTTTACAATTGGGTAAATTTGGCTCTGAACTACAGGGGTCAGGAGCTCTTTGGTGAAAAGATTTATAGAGTGGACATTTGTGAATGCCATTCCAGCTTGCATTACTGCCTTTCCCTGGTTTCTGTTCAGGGACTGGCGTGTTCCTACCTGGGGTTCCAAGGCTGGAGCACTTGAACTTCGCTAAGTCCATTAGCATATCGCATTCCCCTAGGCATGTGATTGGTCCAGAGGTGAGCAATGGACCCATGCAGGTCCAATCAGAGTGCTCTCAGCATCTTTAGCTCATGACGCTGTGAGCACATGGTGCTCCTTCTTGGACAAGGAAGATAAAGCATCTTGCCTGGATCCATCAGCAGTCATCTTGTCACCATTAGTGGTGAGTCAGCCTTAGGATGAGGCTGATCCCAAGGAAGGCAGAATGGAGAGAATTGGAGACTTTATACGATAAATTTCCTTACCATGTAAGCCACTTTGAATCAGCTTTTCTGCTACTTACATCAAAGAGAGTCTTAACTGAATCATGATGGGAAAGAATTTAGTACTTGGACTTGATATAAAATCTGTTTTGGTCCCTCAGAAGATATTGTTGGCACACTGCATGGTCATACCTGGGTGTTTATTCTTTAAATGGTGCATGTGCATTATATGCAGTTTTGTGTGTATGATATTTCACTGTAAAGAAGAAAATAGTTAATGCCATCATTCACCCATCAAGGCAGACTAACCAATGACATGCATCAAAAATATTTATTGAACGTCTATTCTGTGTCAGACACAGTCTAGGTCTTAGGGATAGAGACGGAGTACAAGCCAAAACTCCTCACTCAAAAAGATGCAATATTAAAAGAACAAAGGATCTAGAGGAATATCAGGTAGTGATGTGTGCTATAAAGAAGAGTAAAGAAGGTTAAGGGAAAGATGAAGAAATGCTGTTATTTTAGGCAGCATGGCCGAGAAGTCCTCTCTGATGAGGTGACATATGAGTAGAGACCTGAAAGAAGTGAGAGTGAGCCTTGCAGATGTTGAGGGCCTCAGAAACAGCTCTTCAGACATGGGGAATGGTGCGTGCAAAGGTCCTGAGGTCGGAGTGAGCCCGGCATGCTCTGGACACAGCATGGAAGTGGGTGGGCTGGAGTGCAAAGAGTAGGAAAGAAGGCACCAGAAAGGCAGCCAGGAACACAGCCTCCTATGCTGTGGCCAGGAGTTTGATTATGTTTACAGAGGGATGGGGTCTGTCTGGAAGATTCTGAAGGAATATTCCTATCTGACTTAGTATTTAACAGCTGGCCATTGGGTGCGGAGCACAGTGTGTAGGGAGTAAGGGTGGACATGGAGGCAGTTAGGAGGCCTTTGCATTATTGCAAGTGAGAGAAACAGTTCCTGGACTCCAGTGCAGCAGAAGGGATGGTGAAAGGGTGGTTCAGAACCCAAAGCTGAGCCCAGAATTTGTCAGGCAATGTGAATAGGATGTGGCATGAGAGACAACAAGAGGGATCAAGAATGCTTCCAAGTTTTCCCCTTTGGAACATTTGGAGGAGGAGCAGGTGTGGGGAGAGAACCAAGAGTCTTGTTCCAGGCATGTTAAATTTGTGATGCCTGACTGGACGTTTCAAGCGGAGCCCTGGTGGGCAGAACTGGGAAGAACAGAGGGAAACTTTATTTAGCCTCCCCATTGACGGGTCCCCTCAGTGACTGGTGGGAAACGAAAAACAAATGAAGTGTGTGAACAAAAAAAAGTAGCCTGCTATTTTAAGTAAACAAAGGATGTTGCTCACGAACAAGCCATCAGCCACTTCTGGTTTGCCCTGAGGGGAATTCAGGATGGAGAAACATGGGAGACTGGCCCTAGGTAGTTAAGGTTCACATCAAAGGAATGAGTTCAATGAGCCTAGACTCTTGCATCTTCCCATACAGAGAGAAGCACTAACACCATTAACTTGAGATACCTTTTTTTTTGTTGATTGGCAGAGTCAATCTTTTGATGTTCCAGTACCTTTTTTATTTTTTTTCTCAGCAAATACTTGTGCATGGTCTAGCTCCTCTGTCACCTCTTTGGATCAGTCCCTCAGAGCTAACTGGGAGGCGGCCTTCCTGGGCTATAGTCCTCCCTGAGGTCCCCGACTAAAACAAAACTCTCAACTTTTAGGTTGTTCTGGTTTTTTTTTTTTTCTACTTGACAAGTGGATGGAAATTTTATGAACACTGGTGGTCTTTCCTACAATGTCCAAAATGTAGTGGCTCTCAAACTTCAGAGGGAGCTGCCTAAAATGGCCAGATTCCCTGTGTAGGATCAGGAACTTGTGCCCTTGGCGGATGGAGCATGGGTGATGGGAAACACCCCCGAGATGTGCTCCTTGCATCGCACCATCAGCCTCTACCAGACCCTTCCAGCCTCACTTCCATGCCGCTAGCTTCAGCATCCTTCTCAGTAGCAACAGGCACAGCCCTGAAAGAGGAGAACACACCAGTTGTTGCATGCTACTTTTTGTCCCCAAAGTCCTTTTGCACATGTGGATTCTGCCCTTCTGCAGGGATGCCGTTCTCCCTAAGTGACTTGGGAGCCATAAATACATCAGTCATATTGGGAGCAGATTAGGACAGTATTGCCTGTGACTTTACAGGATGCAGGAGTCCTTGCCTGGGTGCTTGGTCACCTCTCACCTCTGACCTGGAGGCAGCCCAGGGCAGCAGAAGCAGCTGTGGGCATGAAACCCAAGGCCGCGCTGGACCCCTGGGCTCTGCTTCTCCTCTTCTGTGAGACACATCTGTACCCTCACCCTTGGGCTGCTTCCAAAGGAACACCTCACATAAATGTTCCAGGAGCTCAAATGATAAAATGCTCGCTTAACCTAGCTGAATGCCTTCCCACTTTCCAAACGGGGGAGGACCAAGAGGAGAGGTTTGAGAGAGCACGAATTACTCTCCAGCTGATCTTGGAATCCTCCGTGGAAGGATTAAGGTTGCTTTGAGCCAAAACACCTCCCTGGAGCTTTGCATTCAAATGAGCTAATGAGATAAGGCCCCCCCCCCCCCCCCGTTTTAGTTTCCTGTCTTTGGTTGTAATTCCTGCTGCAGCCTCACTAGTCCTTTCCTGCAGGGCTTCCTTCTTTGGCTGTGATCGATATGAATGGCTTTAATTCTGCCTTCCTCCCTCGGGCCTGGGGTTCTCTTCTTTAGGCCACCTTTCTCAGCGAGGAAACAGTTTTCATTGTCTATGGCAGGTTTTTCTAGGTTTGTTTTCAATTCAGACCTTCACGTTGGTTTTTCTTGGATTGTTTTAAGAAGAATGAGACGCCTACCACAGGCAGAGCGGGATCCAAGACCCTGAAGCTCGTTGTGGTCTTTTCCTGTTGTTTTCTCTTGAGAGCATTTAACCTCCGTGCGTCAGTTCCCTGCGATTCTAGGTAATATTTTGTGTGAATAGGAGGGTGTGCTTTATTTAGCCCAGATAAAGATGTCATAACTCTCATCAGGCTTTCAATATGTTCTTACTAAAATACATTTGGAAACATTCAGAAACCCTGCTTAACCATTCTGGGGATTACCACTTTGGGCGAATCTGGTGACCAAGCCTTACAATACAAGGAACAAACATTATCGTGTCTTCTAGAGACTATAGGAAAAAGGCGGTCTCCTCCCCTAGAACCACAGAGCGTTTGAACTAAAAATGATTCTCACTTCCCCACCCCTTCCTCATTGTACAGATGTGGAAATGGACATCTCAAAATGGTAGATGATCTGCCCCAAATCTCACAGCCAGGGAGCTGCAGAGCCGGGACTAGAAGCCACGTCTTGTGGTTCTTGACTCAGTCTTCTGCTCACTCACCTTCCCCATTCCACCGGCAGCAAGGTGACATCCAGCCCTCCCTCATGTTCAGCTTCCCAAACGCTTCTCTCTTTCCCAGGACGCGCTGGTTTATTCTCTCCAATGAAAGCAACGTCCTTCCAAGTACCTACGTAATATTCAGTAATTGACAAGGAATCTTCCAAGCCATATAAAGGGTCTGGATGTCATGAACAAGAGAAGTCATTTCTTGTCCTTTCCAGCCTACAGAGATCACTCCTGTGCTTTTCGCAGACTCCAGCCATTGCATCATTTGTTAGGCCTTGTACCCATGCTCCCCATTTCTCCAGGATTTGGGGGCCCTTGAAGGCAAGGACCTTCTCTTGAATGGTTTTCTATCTGAGAGGATCGAGCACACAGGTCTTAGCACTGTTTGTACATTTCATTACACTTTTAGGACACTGTCTAGGTGTCACCAGTGTGGACCATAATTCCTGAACTCAAATGCCTTCAAGGGTCAGGAAGGTAATGAAGCAAAACGAATGTAGGACCAGAGGGGCAGCAGAAAATTGGGGAATTCGTGACCCATCACATTAAAAAAACAACCCACTTCAGAGGCCTAATTTCCAGCTGTTGTGGCATGAAAAGGTCAGCAAATCCTCTCCTCCCGAGACAGTGTGAAAGTGGACAGCAGTCTCGGAACCAGTCACTTCTGGGCTTGGAAAGGAGAGGAGCCAAAGGGAGAGGAGCACTTACTCACAGAAACCAGAGCCTCAGGCGAGAACAGCGGGGTCCGCAGCCTTGTTGTCTGGGCTGCCTCCATCCCAGCCCTCTTCCCAATTCTTTTCCTCTGTTTCTTAAAAAAAATCTTATTCTGATGGCGGGGGTTGAGTCTATTAAAAAGCTTACATTCCAAATGTTCAAATGCACTTTGAAATTCAGCTCTTCTCTTGGGTCCACTGAACCATTGTAGAATTGTATCTAATTACTTCCCTGAAAAGCCATGGAATACCTTTCAGCGTCTCTGAAGTCCAGCCCGATTCCCCCTGCCCCAGACATCAGGGAACTACAGTTTGGCCTGGTCAGTCATGTGAGGGGCGGGCCGGGCGTGTCCGTGTGTGCGCGCGCACGCTCACCTGGGGGTGGGGGAGAGTTTTCTGCTGTGTGTTATCTGCCAGTGAATAGAGAGACCCACCTCGTAAATGAGCCACCTTAGTCCTCCACAGACACATGTGTGCCGCACCTGGACACCAGACGCGTGGTTGGCCGGGCCACTCTCCTGGCCTTGATTCCCTCCTTTGCTGGCTTCTGTTTTCTTTTTTGCTTTTAATTAAAGTTTACAATGTTGTGTCAATTTCTGGTGTACAGCACAATGCTTCATTCATACATGAATATTCATTTTCATCATGAGCTACTACAGGATATCAAATGTAGTTCCCTGTGCTATACAGTATAAACTTGTTTATCTATTTTATATATACCAGTCGGTATCTGCAAATCTCAAACTCCCAATTTATCCCTTTCCATCTCCCTCCCCCCTGGTAACTATAAGTTTGTTTTCTATGTCTGTGAGTCTGTTTCTGTTTTATAATTAAGTTCATTTGTCTTTGGTTGTTTTTAGATTCCACATATGAGTGATATCATATGGTATTTTTCTTTCTCTTTCTAGATTACTTCACTTAGAATGACATTCTCTAGGGCCATCCATGTTGCTGCACATGGCATTATTTTATTACTTTTTATGGCTGAGTAGTATTCCATTGTGTAAATAAATCACAACTTCTTTATCCAGTCATCTGTTGATGGACATTTAGGCTGTTTCCATGTCTTGGCTGTTGTAAATAGTGCTGCTGTGAACATTGGGGTGCAGGTGTCTTTTTGAATTAAGGTTCCCTCTGGATATATGCCCAGGAGTGGGATTCCTGGGTCATATGGTAAGTTTATTTTTTAGTCTTTTGAGGAATCTCCATACTGTTTTCCATAATGGCTGCACCAAACTGCGTTCCCACCAACAGTGTAGGAGGGTTCCCTTTTCTCCCCACCGTCTCCATTTCTTTGCTGGCTTCTGATCAATATGACCAGTGGGCATTTGTGCCAGGCCTGGGGTTACTCCTGTGGCCTTGTAGATATCGGGGTGCTCCATCCCAGCATACTCAGGGCCCTAAGAGGTGCCCCAGGAGGTCAGCAGTACTGTCTTTAATCCTGGATGAAGAGTCCACCCCTAGCCCTTTCAGTGAACGACCAAGACACACGCTGTACCTAAGGGGCACCCCCCTTGCTTCTGAGGAGTCAGGTGACATGGCAGGTGGTTATGGAGGACCAGAAGTGGAAAGGGTGTGCACAAGGGTAAACTACCACTCTAAGAGGAAATCCTCTGCTGCTGTTCAAACTAGCTGCTGTCTCTGAACCTCAGAGATGACTTTGCACTCTGAGGAGCCCAAGAGGATGGATGGGGCAGTGAGGGCTTGAGAATGGTAGGGACACCTGGGCTGTGCATCAACAAACCTGAGTTCTGGTCCGATGTGGTAGGCAGAATGACAGTCCCCCAAAATGTCCATGTCCTTATTCCTGAAACCTGTGAATATGTTA